CTATTAATATTAAAATTGTAATTAATCAGTTTTTTAAATTTTAATCACTTGATAAAGATCAGATAATTAATTTCTTAAAATCAATTTTATTTTTACATATGATATATTTTACTGAATGGCTTATACTAAAATACAATTTATTTTAAGTTAAAATATATTATAAAATCAATGATAATAGATAGTAATATAAAAACACGAGAACATTTTGAATGATATGATAATATGATAAATTATTTCATTATTTTTGTAAAGGAACAAATAATATTTTATAACAAAATGTCAGTGTATTCCCTTTCGTTTAATTTAAGACATGTATTGTCAATGTTTTTATTTTTCCTTGTATACAATATACAAATTTAACTAAAATATAATATTACTCTTTATTGTTTTCTATGATGTATCATTATTTATAAAATATTTACGAAAAGTAACATAATCGAATTATATTAAAATTAATCAAATTGCAACACAAAAGAGATTAAAATGTAGAAAATACTTTTATTTAGGTTTAAATGAACAGTATAATTTATAGTGGCTAATTGATTTATCGTCATTTACTATTAGTTAAAAGTGGGTAAAAGTATAAGTATAATAAATATTTTAACGGTAAAATAATCATTTTAAAAGCTTTGACTACAACACAATAGGCACATTATTATAATGATCCGTAATTGGCTAAACGTAATTTCAATGTTTTTTAAAATTAAATTAAAATCTTTTATTCAATGAGTTTATGTTGCTAAATTCTATAATGTATTATCCTTTAATTATTTAACAGTATAATACTATCTGTAACTTTATTGTATCAGTATCGATGATGATTTTCTTAAAAAAATAAGAGTGAGCTATTATAAATAAAATTTTAAAATTGATTCGAGCATTATACATAATATTATAGACCTTGACACAATTAAAAAATATTGATCCTAATATTGTATAAACACAGCATACATATCACAATAGGTACAATATACGTCATTCAAATTAAAGTTTAGTGTAAATTATTAAGAGTATTCCTACTCTTTACTCACGTAATATTTATACTAATAGTAATTAGGTGGTATATTGTTTATTATGTCCTTGTGAACATGAAACAAACCAAAATATACGTCTCCTCTTATGCAAATCAATGATCTATATTTTATTAAGTATTAGCATATTCAACGGTTAGCGTTTTTACTTTTTACTAATGACAACTGACAAGTATTATTTACTTTAATAATTTAATCTATTCTTTATTTTTATTTCGAGACATTCTTAATAATAATACTAGAATAAATCTATAAAATGTAAAATTAATTACTCAAATTTTAGCATTTTTTAATTAGTTTATTGCTAGAAAATATTTAAAATGGTTAATTGTAATACCTATGTCTAAATAAAAATTTAGGTGCATACTAAAAACAAATGTTATAATTTTAATGAACATATCTACTATAAGTATTTTATTAGATATATATTTAACCAATAATAATTCCTAAATAATTCATTCAATGATTGTGATTAATACGTATGTTATATATATTATAAAATATACGTAAATACAAGATATAATTTCATATATTTTAATATTAACAGCTATAATTTTATTAAAATAGAAAGCTAAAACACCCAAAAGTCAACAAATTTTCAAAATTTCAAAATATTTCCTTTTTATTAACTATATTTATGTTTATAATTTTTGCACTTACTATAAATATTTAACTTTTAAGATACTTGTTAGTATTAAATCATTTGATTTGTTATTTAATAATATATTTCTGTAAGGTACTAAATAATTTTTTATTCATATTGTTTATACTATACCTATTTCAATATGTTTTTAAATATTACTAAATAGTAATTGTTTTAACGGTTATCAATATATATATCTATAATTCATTATAAATCTAAATTTATATATAATATAATATTTATAAACATTGCCGATACACATAATAAAAATTACTTCCTGAAAATGTTTAGATTATTGATTAAAATTTTTAATAAAATATTTTCTGTACCTATACGTACAATTGTACAAATACCTATTAGTACTTAATTGGTATAAAGTATGCAATTTAACCCCAAATGAAGTAATCTTCTTTTGTAAATATATTATTATTATTATTATATTTTATTATTGTAATGAAATGTTCAAGTTACATATCAGTTATTTCAATGAAATTTTTGTATTTTAGTATTATCCCATAAGATATTTAACATTTCTAGACTCAACAGTAAATATATAAATAAAACGTAAACTTAGGCACCTAGTATTTTAAATATATTCATAATAACGAATTAAATAAAAAATGTTATTTTGTACCTGCTTGATTTTTATTTCAATGTTTTTACTATTTAGAATTTGTTTAACTCTAAAACTAAAATTTAAGATTTTCTATAGCTAAAAAATCGACCCTGCGTCCCTGCGCACGATTGACTTTTAGAACATACAGATTATTATAAATTCAAATATCATATTTTATGAATACAACTTCACAATTTTAGTAATCTGTTCCACGACATTAAGTTTTAAGAACTTTTGTGTAATATGAATTTCCACATATTTTTTATGCTGTTACATTTAAATCGTTTTTTTGTTAAAAACATTTTCTCAAAAAATGCTGAAAAATTGATATTTATAATAACTTAGAACTCTATACCCAGTGTTGTAAGTTAGTAACCTTTATATCTAAAAAAATCTTTGTTTTTCGGCTACAGAACCTTTCCAGTAAAAAAAAAAAATACAAAAAAAGATAGTTTTTTTTTTTTTGGTCAGTACCTAAATGTTTGTTAAAATGTGAACAACTGTTTGTAAATCACTAACTATAAGCTCCATTAAACATTCTCAACACATTTCATTTTTGTAAAAAAAAAAACACTATGATATATTCTTTACTTAAAAATTAAAATCTTTTTATAAAGTATAATTATTTTAATTTGAATTGTAAATATACAATGTCATATAATATCTTTTTACTTTTCAAGCTTGATATAATGATTCTGATATACTTTGATTATATTACATTATTATATACGTACTTATGTATCATATACATATATGATATTTTATACTCCAGTAGTACAGTTTATATAATATTATTATTCACAGTCAAAAGTTGTTGCCTAAATGTATCTTTTAATAAACAATTTTCTGGTTACAAAGGACATCCTTATCTTTTTCTGGTAAAATTGTAAATAATTGGTGATTAAAGACTAGACCATTTGGGCTCAAAGAGTGACATATGAAGTATGGGAATTTTAATTTTTTGTTGCGCTACTGAAAGTGTATCACTAAAATATAGATCCTCCTACACGAGTAAACATTAATTTTTTATACCTAATAAAATGTAATAGTTTACATTTTAAAATAATTTAAGTACACTCAATAACTGTAATACATATATTAAATAGTTGATTAGATAACTAATAAAATTGAAAACATAGATGAATGATTAATATTTTAATCACATCTCTAAATTAATATAGTATTATTAAAATCTATTATAACCATGAAAAATATATTCAAAAAACGTTTAGCAATATTTAGAAAATATTTTTCATTAACAAGTTTACATTAAAACAGTTATGATAAATATGAGTGAGAAATAAAAAGAAATTTAAAATTTTCAGTGTATGATTATTTGTTAAATTGACAGAGTTATCAAAAATACATGATGGTTGTTATTTGAACTAATGTTTTGTGTATAGACAATACTCAATAGACATATAATGATTGTATGGGTTGGAAATTTAAGGCGATAATATGAGTGCTCGGACACCAATTGATCAATATGCACTACTAGTTCCTGATTTACCAATTCGTGGGCCAAGTATTATTTACAATTTTGGACCCTAAATAGTTCGTTTCTATATTTTTCAATGCCAAAATAAAATTTATGCAAAATATATTTATTAATTAATGTTATATGTAATTAATTGTTTATAAATGAGTAATTGAATCATAGAATAACATTTAATTGTCAAAAATATGATTATTTAATATGCAAGAATACTACACTTTAAATGTGTCTAATTAATGTTTAATATTTATACAAATTAAAAACAAACTAAACTTAAAAAGTCAGTTTTTTTTTTAAAATAAAAATTAGTATTTTGATTATTATTTCTTACACTTATATATCAAACTAAATGTTTAATGTTTAAGTCAAATTTAATTTTAGTTTTAAGGCCATCGTCTTCGGGAAAAAGTTATTATACTTAATATCCTACCAAAATACTTAAGTAAAATTCATATCTATTTTGTTTTCCTAGAGTATGATAAAAAGGAATACAATTAATTGTATTTCTTTGAAATTGGTGGGCCCCTCTTTTGAGTGGGCCCAGTACAATTGTCCCATTTGTCCTTGTATAAATATGGTACTGTAGCACTACCAACACTTGGAATTTAAATTAAAGACGTAATAAATGGATAAGTCGAGTTGGAATAGTTTGAACAACAGTGTTCAGTATTGTCGGACTGAAACTGTGTGTATATAATACTATATGGGTATGTGCTTAATACTATAAAAAAAAAAAAAAAAATGATATTTAAAAAATTAATACAATATAATATGAGGTTATTTTGTACCATATTTATATTTGTGAGTAGTAAGTAATAGTTACAAAAATACGACAAGTTCTTGGAAAACTTGATGCGGGACAATCGTTTCATTCCCTACTCGTCAATTGGAAATATTTCTATCAATTCTAGGACAATAGCGCGTAATTATTAATATACCTATATAATATTATATTGTATACTTGAGCCATTCACACGACACATAGTTCAAAGACGAAATCGTCGGTGAGCAAATCCGAAATGCGCGATGAGATTTAAACGCACCGTTGGTATATAACACAGTGTACGTACACAGTATACGAGTCATGAAAAGTAGGGTAATGATTTTAATTATTATTATTGTGTCAATCACATTGTGTGGTGTGTATAATTTTCCTGTTTTTTCCTTCTCATCATCCGGCTCGTTTATTATTTTTTTTTTTTCTGTTATTTCCAGGTCGGCCGGCTCGTGTTCATCGTCGGTGTGTCGTCTGCTGGACGACGGCGGCGGCGACAAAACGCCTCCGCCGCCGCCGTGTTGGTGTACCGCGGAAACCGAGGCCGTCCTCGGTGACCCACATAACGACGTTACGGCTCGGACGACAACCGGTTACCGCTGTCCGCCGCGTGGATCGCTGCTACAGCGTCGAGGCATAGCCGCCGCCGCCGCCGCTGCCGTCGAAGGGGAACGGCCGGTGTTGCGTTCGCGTCCCGACGCAGACGTTCAGTCAAACGTACAGCGTCCGACATCGCGTGTCGTGCCGTCGCGTTGTGTCAGTGCGGGTGATTGGTGTTGTGATAACGGAGACGTCGACGTCGACGACGACGACGACGACGACGAAGACGAGGATTACTATTGCGTTTACGAGGACGAAACCCTCCGTCGAGTGGATAACGACGTCGACGTTGGCGATGATAACCGAGTGCGCGCCGTAGTGCCGATGGACAACGGGAGCGGTTTGATAACGGGCGGCGCCGCGGTCGTCGGGTTGACGGCGGACGGCGGTAAGCCTCAGGCGGCCGCGGCCGCCGAGAGGACTTACGCGTCCACGGAAGCGCAAACGGACGAGACGGCGTGCTCGTCCGCGTACAGGGAACAGCGGAGGCGAGAACGCCGGGAACGCCGGCTCCAACAGCAGCGACGCGTCCATCCGCCGCCGCCGCCTCCGCCCGCGCTTTCGTCGTCGTCGCTGCTGCCGCCGCCACCGCCGACGCTTCTGTTACAGCAGCAGCAGTCCGCGATCGCCGTACCTGTCGACCAGGACAGGCTGCCCGACCTGTTGCTCAACTCGCACCTACCGCCGCCGCTGTACACCACCGTCGGCGGCGGCGGCGTGTGCGACGTCGCCATGGCCACCCGGGCGGCCAACTTGCAGGCGTCCCTGTTGCCCGCCCCATTCCAGCACCCCCATCAGCCGTCCGGGGCGCCCGTCGGCTCGTCCGGCTCTGCCGTCAACTCGCCCGGTGGATTTCGCCTGCCGTTTGGCATCATACCGGCCAGGAGACGAAGGTCAGTGTTTAACATATACGATTTTATGATGTGTTACCGCGTTAAGAAATGCATGATATCATAATATTTTGTTAGGTTATGCCTAAACAAGCCTATTGTAGTGATCGCTCGCAATATTGTTTTGGTCGATGTTTCGGAAATAAAAATATGGTATTTTCATGCTATTAAGATTGTGCTAAACTTGATAGGTATAGGGTAGATATTTTTCCATTTAATTTTGGTATTATTCGTACGTGTTTAGTAGCAATTTTAGTACGGTTAGGTCAAGCACAGCACAGCTTATAATAAGTAGCTATATTACACGGTTAAAAATAAATACATAGCACACATACTTATATACACGTACAATAGTAAGTTAATTGTATAGATAAATACTAGGTAAGTTGCGCAAACATGTGACCAATCGGAACGTTTATATATTTTAAATCATTATATCATAGTATAAAATACCATCTCTCCTAGGTCGATATTTTCATCAAACGTCATGGCCCGCGAGACTTCTCAATTTTCGTTATGCTTTTAATATGATGTATACATATTGTTAATATTATTATATTATAAGCTAGTCTAGAAGCACTTACACAGGAAATATAATATAAGTACCTTTGAATAGCGGTCTTCTCTAATCACTGCATTATATTGAGTTCGTGTCATATAAACGTAAATTGTGTAATAACGAGTACCTACACAATACATTAAAAATAAGTATTTGAACAAAGACCGCACTACAAAGATAGGACAAAAGTGTTGCAGCAGCGCACGCTATATACCTGTCCTGTACGATGTAGCTGCACGCCGCAAACACTCCTAGGCGATAGGTATCAGCAACATATAATAATAATATAACATAGGTACTAATATGTATACGATCCGTTCAAAAACGTCCCATAAGGACAGGTTTCTCGCGGTCGATTGTATTTATACAATAATAATAATAATGGTTATAGTATACACTATAGAACGCAATGAATTCGAACAACGCATCATATTCGGCGGTTTTACGACCCATTAAAAAAGGATACTATGGAAGTGAAATCCAGGATGTTTGCGTTTTGTACAGATGATACTCTGCATGTGTGTTTTTTACGCGATACCCTATTGTTTGTGCGGCTTACAACAATATATAACGTGTAATATAGGTATAGTGTCACGGTCATTACTACAACGCGCATACAAGAGTGTTTATTATAATAGTAATAATTCATAATAATATGCGCATTTTGTGGTACATATATTTTGTTTTTTAAGAAACCTTTCGTTCATTAGCCATCACATTGTACCTATCTGCCTGTACAGATCGCGGTGACGACCGATAAAATATTCATCAGAGATAACATATTTCGTAAACCTACTATCTGAACAATTTTAAATCCTCCCAATATATGATGTATTATTTGTATTATTTGCAGTGAAAATAGATCATATTATGTATATTATATATTACGTTGTTGTGTTGTCGAAATGTAATGAATAAAAACGATGTACACACCAGTACTATTACCAATTACCATAGGCATTAAAATAATATTGAATATTGATGATATGAAGTATAAAAACAAATATTTATGAAAAAGTTAAAAAAATTAAATTTAATACATTTAATTACATCGTGGGTATGCTATTCTTTATCGTATTATTATTAAACATGAAGTGATTTTTTTTTAACGACAAATAGACAATATATTGAGCGTACTGTACAATATTACATTTTTTTAAACTTTTGTCGAAATTAAACTTCGATTTTTTTTTTTATGATTCAAATAATTTAAAATGCATTTTAAAAAATTGTTTGATGTCTACTATCTTGATGAAAATTTAATAATATGTCTAGTTCATGATGAAAAAAAATCACCGTATATCAATATTGTACAATTGTGAATAAAATAAGAGTATGTTCTACTATAGTACAATATTATATTAGTATTAAATATATATAAATTTTATCAATATCTTAAAAATCAATTTTTTGTGTAATATAAAATATATATTTAATCAATATAATGAGATTACTATTCATCCAAAGGTTTGTCACGGTACAAATTTTACTGTCCTATGTCATTTCTAATATTTACTGTGTAGATAAAAGATATCTAATATGTTCATATAATAATTTAATTTAATTATTCACGAATTAATGCACATTGAATTTTAATATAATATGTATAATATTTTGTAACTTTTAAACCAAAATATAAGTATGTCTTACTGACATCGTGTTTCAATTATTTATCGATAAAATAATTTATGATTATACTTGCTTAGCTAGTTAGTCAAATTCTAAATGATGATATTATTATACTTTGATGTTCATATAATTATAACGCAATTTTTTACTAGTTAAATTTTACTTTATAATTATAAAATAATGGTCATTCCTGTGATATATTGTGTCATTATTATAATTTAGAATGTGACTGAATTTAGTCTCTCTCCCTATAAATATAATACTAATATATATTGTATAATTTTTAAGAATCAACTATTCTGAAGGTCCGATAAACAATAATCGTTTAGATAATATCAATGTTTAGTCAACATTAACAGTAGTAAAACAAGGCTAGCTAACTCAAAAGTTAATATTTAACGTAATAATAATATCGCAACCCACCACATGCATAGTAATTATTCATTATTTCTTGTTCATTTGCACGACTGAACTATGTATTATAAATGCATATATATGTGTGTATGTAGTGTGTGTAGTTCATATATATGTATAAGCTCATGAAGTAATTGACGTAACGCTCGTAACTGTATACACATTTATAAAATATATACGATGTGTAACGATATACATCATCATAATAATAGTATACAAATGATGATCGTCATATCAGCCTGCGATGATTCGGTTTTCGAAATTTCACATCCGGTACCCATTCGCGAAATAAAATATCAACAAAATAATATATAAAAAATAATAAAATAACATAAACATGAACGAAAAATACAAAAAATATAAGCAAATTAATAAGTTTAACCACATTTCCGTACTTAGCTGTAGCCTATTGTATACAGGAACCATATCACATGCGAAAACATAATTATATGTACGGAAATCGTTTAATAACAATTAACCTTACCAACAACGTTTTCTTATTTTCGCATAAGAATGAAATTAATTTATCTTGTTATTTTCGTCTCCGTTTACTGTTTCTTTCCTATTTTGAAGAAAGCGTATAATACTATACGCCCGCGATCTGAGTTCGATAAGACGAGATATGCAACCGCGGCATCATATAATCACGATAGTTTTCAACCTACAGTATAAGGGGTGTGGTGGAGAGGAAGACGTGTCATAATCATCACGAGAACGGAACCTCGTATCTACCTTTGTATGTAATATATATATATATATATAATATATCATTATTATCATTATTGCTATTATAAGCGGCGGACCGACAGAGACGGTCGTGCATGAAGCTAAGATCTATCGGCGGCCATGTTTTCACTTGTAATCTTTGCTTAAACTCTTTAAAACACTTGGCAGCGGACCATATAGTAAATAGTTTCGATCATTTATCTCATAGGCTATACTAGACTTATAATTTGTTAAAAAAGTGTATGAAAATATTGCGAAATAAAAGTTGTTCATACGATGCAATTTTAATTACGTTTTGTTTTTATAAAATCAATGTAAGGTCAAATAGGTAATACAGTATTTCTATGGTAGGTATTTTAGAATAATTTCAATAATATCGATAAATTATTAAGGAGGAAAAAGTGTTAAGTTCTTTGCAGTTTGTATGATATTTCTATGTATATTGTCATACAAAATAATTAATAATATCTTATATATATATAGTTTTATGCAGTTTAGTGAATTAATGTTGATTAAAAATTTGTGTTATAAAAATTATGGTAATTTAAAAAAAAAAAAATGTTCAGCCTGCTTAGACCGCAAGCAATTATGAATTCAAAAACAACATAGGTATATCCGTAATATAATAACATGTTTTAAGATAAAAATATATGTTTACCATCTTAATGCAGATATATTATATATATTGTAAGAGTAAGAGCCAAGAGGGTTAAAAGGGTGCCACATTATTGTCCTCGTATCATCATGCATATCTGCTTATATAAGTCCATTTTCTACATAATAACTATACTATATAACTATATTTGTTAAATTGTAAAAAAAAAAAAATAACACTTGATGAATAATAATAATACAATTTTTAACATTTTCCTTATCACAAAAATGAATTACATTCTCTGATTGTTTGTAATACAAAATAAACAATTTTAAATGAATGTGGGAAATAAAATACCGTGATTTTTAAAAATTATTTAGAAAAAAAGTTGTTATTATTTATTATATAGAATGATAAGACACTCTATATTAGAGGTACAATAGTACACACACTGTACTTATTATAAAGTACGTAGTTACGAAATACTAATAATAAAAACAGCTTGTGCTGTACACCTGCATGTAAAAATTTTAGTTGTTTAAAAAATAAACTCCGTTGTCATTTAATTTGCAGTGTATACCTATGTTCAAAATCTGTTGGTTAAAAAACAAAATAAAAAAAAGATCCAATAACTAACACGTGTTACCTATATATTATATAATACACCCATCAACTATCATAGTTAATCAATGTTATACCTACAGTAAATTCTTCTCTCCTTCTTGCGTCAATGAATTTGCATATTCTTCATTCTATTCATATTATATAGACCATATGCATTATAATTCTGTATTATGCTTCTGGCATTCACATATTTTATGGGTGTTACGTTTGCACTATATACTAAACTGTCTGATACAGTGTAAATGGATCAGATTAAGTCTTGGATGTATATTGTAATAATATAGTAAAGCGCTAAAGCTATGGATTTACAGAATTAAATTGGGTAATGACATAAATCCAGTATTCCGGATTGCGAAAATTAAAAGATAATATTATCTCATGACAAACTTCTAAAAAAATGCTAGTCCCCATGTATTTTGTACACGCAAATAGTTACTTTCGAAATAATAATAAAAA